ATGGGGTCGAGACGGGACCGTGAGGGGCCGCGAAGGGCGGCGACGGGGCCGAGAAGGGGCCGTGAGGGGCCGCGAAGGGCGGCGACGGGGCCAAGAAGGGGCCGCGAGGGGCGGCGACGGGGCCGAGAAGGGCGGCGACTAGACGGGAGGGTAGGCACACGGGGCGCGACTCGGGCAGGGGCGTAGCGCGCTCCGGGCAGGAAAAAAATTCGATTTTCGGTGGGCCCTAGGAAACGTTCCCACTAGGGAACCTGCTCTAATACCATGTGAAAGAACTAGGAATGATTGACTAGTGAGAGGGAGTACAAACCCTAGAAATGTGTTGTACCCCATATGTGCTACCCCACTATAGCCTACATAGGCTAAGTCATATAAATCTGACACTCAAGACACAACTCCTCAATACCTGTGATGTCCAGGCTTGACTCTCTTTCTTCATAGGGCTGATGTGAGGACAAAGGGACAAAGTTGGAAGGAAGCGGGGTAGGTGATGGCTTGCTATCATCAGGACCAAACCTCTCAAGGACCTTTTGGATGTACCTTTGCTGGAATAGGAAGATGGACCGTGACTTATGATCTCTCACAATGTTCATACCATTATAATGACTCGGCTCACCAAGATCGGTCATTGTGAATGCACTCATGAGAATATCTTTCACCTTGTTGAGGAGATCAAGAGAACCTGAGACTAGGAGGAGGTCATCGACATATACCAAGAGCTAAATGTACTCCCCCTCACTCCCCCCCCCCCCCTGGACGTCGCCCCGGCCTGTCGTGAAGCCCCTCCCCCCTAGACGCCGCCCCTGCCTGACTGCCGCCGTCGCTCCTGCAGCAGCTGCCGCGGAGAGCCCTGCCACGGTCGCGGCCCCGCCCTGCAGAAGCTGCCGCGGAGCCTCCTGCTGCTGTCCCGGCCCCACCCTGCAGCAGTCCTCGCGGCCCCGCCCTGCAGCGGTCACGGCCCCGCCCTGCAGCAGCTGTCGCGGACCTGCTCTACCGCCGACATGGCCCTGCTCTGCCGCAGCTATCGCGGCCCTGCCGTCGCCGCCGTCGTGCGCCTACCCGGCCGCAGCCCGCCGAGCGCCGGCCCTGCTCGCCCGGCGAGCGCCTGCCCTTCCCGCCACTAGTGAGCACCTACCTTGTTCGCGCGCTGCCGTGTCACCTGCCTGCCTGTCTGCCTGCCTGCCGCACCTGCCCTGCTCGCGCTGCTACTGCTGCTACTACTGCTACCTCTGTTACTGCTGCTAGGCTGCTGCTGCTGTTGCTACTGCTGCTACTTCTGCTACTGCTGCTACTGGCGGTGGCCAGATGCAGCTCCAGCGACGTCCACGCGAGTCTCTCCCGCCCCAGCAGCTTCGTGAGTGGTACGCTAGTTGGGGTTGTGGCGGTAGCCGTCGTAGCTGTCGCCCTGGAGCTGGTCAGTTGGGAGCGTCTGGCAGTGACCAGCTGCAGCTGCAGCGGCGTCCACGCGAGACACCTACGTCCCAGCAACTTCACGAGTGGTACGCTCAGAGTAGAGGGTCTCGGAGTACCGTTCGCTGCCCGTACGTCATTCGCACAGGTGATCGGGCTGGTCAAGCTTGCGGGACACTTGGTCACACACAGTCCCGCTGCTTCGCCCGTCTGAGCGACGCCTTGCGTACCAAGTTTGGCGACGAGGCTGAGCTCCCCACCTGGCTGGAGCTGCTTAGGCAGAGGGTAGATATCTTTGCTCTTGACTATGATGCTATTCTCACTGCCATGTATGCATTGCCTACTAGTGTTGACGGTGCCTGCTACCTGTGCGTACCGCCTGACCCATGTATAGAGCCTGCTTCTCTAGGTACTGGTGAGGCTGCTGCTCTGGGTGCTAGTGCATCTCCTGCACTAGGTACTGGTGAGGTCGCTGCTCTAGGTTCTAGTGCGTCTCCTGCTCTAGGTGCTGGTGAGGCTGCTGCTCCAGGTACTGGTGAGTCTGCTCTCTCTGGTAATTCACCTGCTGAGGCCTTGTACACCTTCACACTTGACTCAGGTGCTTCCCGCTCCTTCTTTCGCGACAGCACCACCCTCACGCCGCTCAGTCGGTCGGTTAGAGTCTCCCTGGCAGACCCCTCTGGGGGTCCAGTCGTTGCGCACTCCTCCACGATCCTGCCATGTCTGGCGGTCCCGTCTGGCTCCCTGTCTGGTCTTCACCTCCCTCGTTCTCTACGAACTTGGTGAGTGGTGCTGGCCTCCAAGACCAGTGGGTTGACCAGTTCACTCTTGGAGGTCACCGCGTGACCCACTGTACGTGCTCCCGGACGAACCGGCACCTGGCCACGTTTACCCGTGCGCCTGGCTCGAGTCTGTACACACTGACTACTGTGTCCCCTCAGGTCGCTGCGTCCGCGTCTGCGTCAGGTCAGCTAACGGCCCCCTGCTCGTGTCGTGCTTTGTCGCACCAGACCCTCCTTTGGCACCACCGCCTTGGTCACCCCTCGGTGCAGCGCCTTCGTAGCATGCACCGCCGTGTCCTTGTCTCTGGTCTTCCCAGGGTTCTCCCTCCCCTCCCACCCTCGCCTGCTCCTCCCTGTCTTCCCTGTGTCGAGGGGCGGCAGCGCGCCGCTCCTCACTACTCCTCGTTTCTTCCGACGACTGCTCCCCTGCAGACCCTGCACATGGACGTGTGGGGCCCAGCCCGCGTCCGTGGGCAGGACCGCGAGCGGTACTTCCTGCTGGTTGTTGACGACTACTCGCGTTACACCACCGTCTTCCCCTTGCTCACCAAGGGTGAGGTCCCTGATGTTTTGATCCCTTGAATCCGCGCTGCCCGTCTCCAGCTCCGCGAGTGGTTCGGGACGGAGTTTCCCGTCCTGCGTCTGCACTCTGACAGAGGTGGGGAGTTTTCCTCCGACCTTCTGCAGAGCTTTTGTCGTGGGGAGGGCATTCGCCAAACGTTCACGCTTCCGGCCTCTCCGTAGCAGAATGGGGTTGCTGAGCGCCGCATTGGCTTGGTCATGGAGGTCGCTCGTACCTCCATGGTCCATGCGGCTGCCCCCCATTTTTTGTGGCCGTTTGCGGTCCGCTACGCCGCGCATCGGCTCAACCTCTGGCCCTGTGTCTCCTTGCCGGAGACCTCGCCCACACTGCGGTGGACGGGGGAGGTTGGCGATGCGTCGGTGTTCCGGGTCTGGGGACAACACTTCAGCCATCGCCCTTTCCAGGAACCCGGTTCATCATGGGCGTACAAAACACATCGAGGTGCAGTACCATTTCATCCGTGAGCAACTAGAGAAGGGAGTTCTCGCCGTCAACTTTTTCCGTTCCTTCTATCAAGCGGCAGATTTCATGACTAAGGTTCTTCCACATGATGCATTCAACGTGTGCAAGGCAAGATCAGGCCTCATGACACTTCATGAAGCAGTGCAGCAGTTTGAGGAGAATGAGGAGTGTGAGGAGAAGAGACGTGGGCAGCAGCATGGAGTGTATCCTAAGGAGATATGAGAGGAGCATCAGCATGGGTGCATGTGTGCTTTGGGTCTGGTGCGAGGGGGAGTGTTGGAGAATCGAGTTTCTGCCGCCCCAGCCCTTTGCACACAAGGAGAAGCGGGGGAATGTCGGCGACGAAGTCAAGGCTTCGTGAAATATTCAGAAACTTCACAACCAATCATATTGCAGCCGGAGACTCGATACAGTTCGGGATTGCTCTCAAACAGAAGTGTCAACAGTTTCTACAGGTTTCTACAAAACAGAATCAGCTATAACAGAAAATTCCAGAGATTTCTTATTCATGCACCTCATGTGGTTCTCAAGTCACTCAAGGTTCATGGAATCTGAATTGTGCCCAAGTTCTCAAGGAAGTTGCTTTGTCTAGCAGTCTAGTTTAAGCTACCTCAGATAGGCTATCTCCCTTGTTTGTGATGCTTATAGAGTTGTGCCTTAGTGGGCTTGTATAATATTGACCTTAGTGAAGTTGTACCTCATCCAGTCAATTTTAGCAGCCCTGCTAAGACTTTCCGGCCAAGTTTCCAGCCCTTAGTAGCCCTGCTAAGACTTTCCGGCCAAGTTTCCAGCCCTCCAGTAGTCACAGCTACTCTGTTTTACAAGTGCCCAAACCCAAAGTGAGAGGGTGTCTTATGCCACTGGTCCGCCCCGACCTGGTCCGTTGCAAATTTGTGCATGTCGGGTCCGCAATTCTGGTCTGACGGACCTACTTCGCGGACCAGCCGTGGACCAGACACGAGCTGGTCTACATAACACATCGCGTCACGGGCTGTACAGCATTTACGAATAGAAACATGAACGACGAGAATCAGACATGTGGAAATCGAGTTACCTCATTTTTTCCCGGTAAAAACTCCCCGTCGCGTGACGAGCGACAGTCACGAAAAGCGAGAAATTTCGCAAACAAAGTGTGAGCTGCTACAGTTACGGACCAGGCGCGGGCTGGTCTGGCGACCAAATGAATGGCCCGCTGGTTGCCTTTCGAACGTAATTACGAGTCTCGCATCTCGGTCCAGTCCGTCGCTGGTTCACAGGATGGTTCTCGAGCTGGTCCACCGGGTCCGCGTCAAACTTACAAGGACCCGCTCGTTTGAGACACGTCCTGAAAAGCCTGCGATCGTGAAGGGATTGCAATTCAAGCAAGCAGACCAAGGAGACCACTGCCCGCGTCTTGCGGACCAGTCCGTGAACCATGGTGTACGGCACAAGCAATGGCCTTGCGTCCAAGCAGGTTCTCGGAGATCAGTTGCTTGCCAACCAGACACGTCTATGGATTATTCCTTGGGCAATAGAGAGCGTCGAAGTGCCCCGGGTCCGACTACTACGTGGTCGCCGGACCAATGGCCGACCGAACGCGGCCGCTCCACAGCGGTGGTGGAATCTAGGACCCCGTTCAGTCGGCTTTTTTATATTATGATTTCGGAACGACTTTTTGTGATCGTCAACCCCTCACGACAGCACCAGCGTCCACCATTCGCGTATTATAGCCATATTCGTAGTACTAGATCAGGCTGCTCGCAAGGAAGCGCACTGTGCTCCGGATGATGGAGATCGACCCTGTGGTGGTGGATGATGTATTGGAGGCGCCGGAGGCTACTATTGCCGACCGACAGGAAGTACATTCAGGTACTCTAGTCGCTTGAATTCACGACTCGTGCATTACGCTCGCCTCCCCGTTAGCAGTGCTAACGATCTATGCGCTACTTGTAGTAAGTTAGCACGATGTCGCTGTAAGAAAGGTTCCTCCTTAAGCACATTCTATGTTAGCGCATTCCTTCTTTCAACCAAGTTGGCTCGACCTAGTACTGGCCTCATCGGACACCGTCGCTATCAAAATACGTCCTTTCTGTCACCGAATTCCACCGCGGGATTCGTTGCACGGTGCCTCATCGGCCAACCACCCCCTTACTCCCACGCATTTCTGCTCCTCCCCGCAGCGTCGTCGGACCACTGGCGGCAGGCGTTGGCGCGGGTGGTGCCGGCGGTGGTGGTGCTGCGCGTGACGGCCGTGCGCGACTTCGACACCGAGGTTACCAACTCTTCGCACGCCACTGGCTTCGTTGCCGACCGCCGCCGCGGCATCATCCTCACCAACCGCCACGTCGTCAATCCCGGTACGGTCCGCTCCGCTCCGCGCGCCTCTTCCTCCCTCTCTTGCATCGTATGTTTTTTTAGAATTCTCGCATCTTGCATATCTTGCATTGTGCTCGCTGCCGCTGCCTCGCTCGCGAATCTCCTGCGCTTCTCGCCTCACCACCCGCACCGTTATCTCACTTCCCCTCTCCCCGCGCCTCCCATTCCAACAACGCGTGCCGCCGCGCGCGTTTGCCAGGCCCGGTGGTGGCGGAGGCGATGTTTGTGGCCCGTGCATCCGATCTACCGCGACCCCGTGCACGACTTCGGCTTCTTCCACTTCGACCCCGCCGCCGTGCGCTTCCTCGACTACCACGCCGTGCCGCTCGCGCCCGAGGCCGCCGCCGTGGGGCTCGAGATCCGCGTCGTGGGCAACGACAGCGGCGAGAAGGTCTCCATTCTCGCCGGGACCATCGCGCGCCTCGACCGCGACGCGCCCGTGTACGACGCGATCGGGTATAACGACTTTAATACGTTCTACCTGCAAGCCGCGTCGGGCACCAAGGGCGGGTCGAGCGGGTCGCCCGTGATCGACTCGCACGGGCGCGCCGTGGCGCTGAATGCGGGGAGCAAGTCGTCGAGCGCGAGCGCGTTTTACCTCCCGCTCGACCGCGTGGTGCGCGCGCTGAGCGCCGTGCAGGCGTGCTTCGAGGAGAAGGAGGGCGGCGGGTTCGTCGCGCACAGGTGGCGCCCGCCCGCCATCCCTCGCGGCACCCTGCAGGTGCGCGCGCAGGAGGGACGGGGAGGGGAACGAGGGGGACGGGGGGGGCACTGATAGGTAGACGGGGTTTGTGCTGCTGCGTCAGAGACGTTAACAGCACTGGAACACTGCTTATACCTTCCTGCTCCTCTCCAACTGTGGCCCCTCCCTCTTCGCATCCACGCTCCCTCTTCGCCTTCACTCTCCCCTGCTCCCTCTACCCCCTCATCTTCTTCCCCTTCCCCCTCCCCTCCCCACCTCTCCAACGCCCCGCCGGCAGGTGACGTTCCGGCACAAGGGGTTTGAGGAGACGCGGCGGCTGGGGCTGCGGGACGAGACGGAGGCGGAGGTGAGGCGCGAGGCGGGTGCGGCAGAGACGGGGCTGCTCGTGGTGGACTCCCTCGTGCCGGGCGGCCCCGCGGACGGCATACTGGAGTCCGGGGACGTGCTCGTGCGCGTCAATGGCAAGGTGTGTGCGGGTCAACGGCAAGGTGTGTGCGCGTCAACGGCAAGGTGTGTGCGCGTCAACGGCAAGGTGTGTGCGCGTCAACGGCAAGGTGTGTGCGCGTCAACGGCAAGGTGTGTGCGCGTCAACGGCAAGGTGTGTGCGCGTCAACGGCAAGGTGTGTGCGGGTCAACGGCAAGGTGTGTGCGCGTCAACGGCAAGGTGTGTGCGGGTCAACGGCAAGGTGTGTGCGCGTCAACGGCAAGGTGTGTGCGCGTCAACGGCAAGGTGTGCGCGCGTCAACGGCAAGGTGTGTGCGCGTCAACGGCAAGGTGTGCGCGCGTCAATGGCAAGGTGTGTGCGGGTCAATGGCAAGGTGCGTGGGTGGTAGCAGCAGCGAGGGGAGACGGGGCTTCTGGTGGTGCAATTGCTCTTGCCGGGCGCATCAACTGCAAGGTGCGTGCGCCCACCCGCCACCTTCCACGGTTCCACCTTCCCACCCCATGGCGGCCAGCTGTGCATAGTCCAGCTCGTCCCTCTCTCCCCTTTCTACCACCACCGCTCGACCCTTCGCCTCTCCGCGCATCATGCCCTGCCCTCCCCTCCACCCCTCCTCCTCGCCACTGCGCAGGTGCTCACGCAGTTCCTAGCATTGGAGACCATTCTCGACGACACAGTGGGCGGCACCGTGATGCTGGACGTGGAGCGCGGAGGCACGCCACTCTCCCTCACTCTCTCCGTGCACGACCTGCACGCCATCACGCCCCGCCGCTTCCTCGAGCTCTCAGGCGGCGTGCTGCACGCGCTCTCCTACCAGCAGGCGCGCAACTTCCGCTTCCCCTGCGGCCCTGTCTACGTCGCCGAGCCCGGCTACATGCTGACGCGCGCGGGCGTGCCTCGGTTCGCTATCATTCAGAAGCTCGCCAACCAGGACGTTCCGGATCTAGACGCCTTCATCCGCGTGTTTGCGCGGCTGCAGGCGGGGGCGCGTGTGCCGATACAGTATGTGACGGTGGAAGAGAGGCACCAGGCGAAGCAGGTGCTGCTGCTGGTGGACCGCCATGCGTGGTACGCGCCCCCACAGATGTACTGCCGGGATGACTCCACTGGCCTCTGGCACATTGCCCCCGCGCTCCCCCCTCCGCCTGTTGCTGCCGCTGCTGGTGCTGCTGTTGTCGATGGTGCTGCTGATGATGGTGCTGCTGTTGTCGATGGTGCTGCTCATGATGGTGCTTCTGCCGATGGAGTTGCTGCTGGTGATGATCAAGACGAGCAGCAGGAGAGCGGGTTGACAATGGAAGGATGGGAGGAGGACGATGACGAAGAGGAAGGAAGCGAGGCAGACGATGCAACAGTAGCTGATGGAGGCGCTGCTGCTGATGCAGCAGATGGATCACAGGCATCAGCCAAGGCAGCTGGCACGAGCTCATTTGTGGAGAGTGTACTGGAGCCTTCGCTTGTCATGATGGAGGTGCGTGGGTGGGAGCACCGCGCTCGTCTTTCCGCTTTCTTATCACTTCTCCTCTCACCTCTGCTGTGACACTCTGCTTTGAGACTGCGGTGTGTGTGAGGCCCTGCCTCACTTTCCCTCTCCGCCCAACTCCCCATCCCACCTCCTACCCCATCCCCCCCATCCCTCCCCATCCCTCCCCTCCCCATCCCTCCCCTTCCCATCCCTCCCCTTCCCATCCCTCCCCTCCCCATCCCTCCCCTTCCCATCCCTCCCCTTCCCATCCCTCCCCTTCCCATCCCTCCCCTTCCCATCCCTCCCCTTCCCATCCCTCCCCTTCCCATCCCTCCCCTTCCCATCCCTCCCCTTCCCATCCCTCCCCTTCCCATCCCTCCCCTTCCCATCCCTCCCCTTCCCATCCCTCCCCTTCCCATCCCTCCCCTTCCCATCCCTCCCCTTCCCATCCCTCCCCTTCCCATCCCTCCCCTTCCCATCCCTCCCCTTCCCATCCCTCCCCTTCCCATCCCTCCCCTTCCCATCCCTCCCCTTCCCATCCCTCCCCTTCCCATCCCTCCCCTTCCCATCCCTCCCCTTCCCATCCCTCCCCTTCCCATCCCTCCCCTTCCCATCCCTCCCCTTCCCATCCCTCCCCTTCCCATCCCTCCCCTTCCCATCCCTCCCCTTCCCATCCCTCCCCTTCCCATCCCTCCCCTTCCCATCCCTCCCCTTCCCATCCCTCCCCTTCCATCCTCCCTTCCCATCCCTCCCCTTCCCATCACCTCTTTTCCTCCCTCTTCATCCAACTTATTCCCTCGTCGTTTCTCCCCTCCCCTCCGCACCAACCCCCCCCCCACCCCCGTGGTGCAGGTGCACGTGCCACCAGCAGTGATGGTGGACGGGGTGCATGCGGAGTGCTTCTTCAGCACGGCGCTTGTGGTGCACCACACGCCACACCTGGGCCTTATTGCTGTGGACCGTAACACCGTTGCCGTCTCTGTTGGTGACATCATGCTCTCCTTCTGCGCCTACCCTGTCGAGGTCCCCGGCCAGGTCAGTCAGTCAGTGCCCGCTCACCCTCTCCCTGTGCATCGCTTACCCCCTCACTGTTCACCGCTTGCCCTCTCCCTGTGCATCGCCCACCTCTCCCTGTGCATCGCCCACCTCTCCCTGCACGTCGCGCCTCCCCCTCTCTTGCACCTTCTCTTTGCCGCACGCTCATCAGTGCTCCCTCACTCTCTATCCGTGTGCATTTCCCCATGGCTCAAATCTTGCTCTCTTTCTCTGCCTACCCCATCAACCCCGCCGGTGAAGTGTGTGTGTGCATCATCGCCACCTTGCACCTGCCCTGCAATTGCCGGGCTACCTGCACCTCCAAAGCACCTGCCTCACCTGTGCTTTGCGCCCTACTCCTACCTCTCCCCATCCCACCCAACGGCTCCCAACGCCCCAAACCCCACCGTTCTCCTGGCCCCTTCTCCCAGGTGGTGTTCCTGCACCCTGTGCACAACATCGCCTTTTGAGTCGACTCACAAGTCATCTCGTTCCCCTCGCCCATCCTCCCCTCCCAGGTGGTGTTCCTGCACCCCGTGCACAACATTGCCTTTGTGGCCTACGACCCAGCAGCGCTGGGGGCAGCAGCAGCGGCAGCAGTGCAGCCCGCCATACTGAAGCCCGCCCCTGCGCTGCGCCGGGGGGACCGCGTGCACCTCGTGGCTCTCAGCGGGGAATGTCAAGCCGTCATGTCACGCCAGTCAATTGTTACCAACCCCACCACCATGGTCACTGTCGCCACCTCTGACTGCCCGCGCTACCGAGCCATCAACATGGACGTTGTCGTGCTTGACACAAGTGAGTGCAGTGCGGTGCAGCGCGGTGCAGTGCAGTGCGCCTGTTGATGCGCATGGTTGGTGTGCCCGCAAGTCTTCTGCCGCGAGGCGCTGTTGAGAACTCTCAAAAGCACCCTCCAACGCCTCTCTCGCATGCACTCATGCTGCCACATGCACACCAACAGAAAGTCTTCTTCACACTGTTCTGGAACTGCCCCCCTGCCTGCCATTACGTGCTTCCCCGTGACAGACTTTGGCGTGGACTTCCCAGGTGTGCTGGCAGACGACTCAGGCGCTGTGAGGGCGCTCTGGAGCTCCTTCTCCTCCACCGTACGTCGCTGCCCCCCTCTCCTCTCCCATACGTGACCATCCGCCCTCCTCTCCCACTTCCTCTCCTTTCTCTTCTCCACTTGGCTGCATTGCACTGCTCCCTTTCCCCCTCGAGAAAAACCCTCTCCTGCTCTGAGCTTCCCCACTGCTTTTCCTCTCCTTGTCACCCTTTAACATGGCATCTTCTCGTCCTCTCCTCGTTACACACCCTCTCTGCCATCCATTTTCATGCCCTCAAATAGAAGCTTTCCTCCCTTCCCGGTACTCCTCTCCCCCTCCCCCTCTTTAACCTCGGAAAGGCAAGTCTTGTCCTGAACAACCCCCTCCCTACGCACCCTTCCAGGACACAAAAGGCGGCAAGACTAGTTTTGTGTGCGGCGTGCCCATCGCCTTCATCTCCTCCCTCCTCAACCGCATCCTCCAAGCGCCCCCCTCCACGCCCCTCCGGCCCCACCCGCCCACCACTCCCGCTCCCTCTGCTGAGCCTCACGTCGAAAAGAACAGCTCGGCAGGAGAAGCAGGCGAGGGGACAAGGGAGGCAGAGGCGGAGGAGGTGGGAGGGGGGGGTACGAGCGTGAGCAGCAGCAGGGTGGGGCTGGCAAGTGCCTGTTGGTGAACGGGCAGCTGTGGGAGATGCCGCAGGTGCGAGTGCTAGAGGCGGAGTTGGTCCCCATGCTGCTCTCCAAAGCCAGGAGCTACGGCCTCTCAGACCGCTGGGTGCAGGTGCTGGCTCGTGCTGACCCCGTGCGGCGGCAGGTGCTGCGTGTGAAGGGGACGCTAGCAGGGTCGGCAGTGGCAGGCGTGCTGCAGCAGGGTGATATGCTCCTCGCTGTGAATGGCCGCCCCGTCACGTGCTTTGCTGATGTGGAAGCGGCCTGCTGTGAGCTGGAAGCAGGCGCGGGTGAGTCAGCAGGGCTGATGGAGGGAGAGGGGAGGAGCAAGGGGAGAGAGGGTGCCGGGGCAGCCACAGCTGCAGCAGCAGCAGCAGGTGGGGGAGGTACGAATGGGCATGTGAGCGAGATGAGGTGGAGGGAGCCAACTGGTGCGACAGAAGCAGGAGTAGACACGACTGTAGTGAACGGTGCAGCAGAGGCACCAGGGAAGGTAGACAGGAAGGAGCTTGCAAGGCTAGCGGCAGCAGATGCAGTAGCAGAAGCAGCAGCAGGGGCAGCAGGGGCAGCGGCGCGGGTGTGTTTGAGTGTGACGATACTGCGGCAGGGCAGGGAGCAGCAGGTGCAGGTGGGCACGGACGTGCGGCACGGCTTTGGCACAACGCGTGTGGTCAGCTGGGCGGGCTGTCTCGTTCAGGAACCCCACCCCGCCGTCAGAGCCACTGGTTTCCTGCCCTCACAGGGCCACGGCGCCTACATTGCCAGGTGGGTGGGCTGGAGCGTGGTCTGAGGTGGCCTTTGAAACGTCTCTTAAGTCGTATACGCCCCCCACCCTGTTGTCAGAGCCACTGGCTTCCTGCCCTCGCAAGGACACGGCGCATATGTCGCCAGGTGGATGGGTTGGGGGCGTGGCGTGAGGTGGCTGCTGGGGAAGGCGTGGAGCACAGGAGGGTGTCAAAGGGCATGAGCGAGTATGAGGGGAAACGAGGAGAGTGATTTGCTAGTGCGTGATCTACTGCGCAGTAATTATCCTGGCTGTTCCTCCATTCGTTCCGTATCCTCAATTTCTCCCCGCCCTCCCGCTCCCTGCCACCCGCCACCTACATTTGTAGGTGGAAGCACGGCAGTCCGGGGCAGCGCTATGGGGTGTCCTCAATGAATTGGATTGTGGAGATCAACGGCCGACCCGTGCCGGACCTTGATGCTCTTGTTACCATCACCCAGGTAACACCAGATTGGCATTCTGGAAGGAAACATGATGGATGTTGCCAATAGCCCTTCCGTCGCCATCCCTGCCCTTCCTTTGCTCTCTCTTTCCCCCTCCCTCCAACCCTTTTGCCTCCTCCCCCGTTTTGGCCTCTCAAGACATGGAACACGGTAAATTCTCCATCGACTCACAAGTTACATCCCCCCTTCCCTCCTCTCTCCCGTCCCCTCCTCCGTGGCATAACAGGAGTTGGAGCACGGGGCATTCGTGCGGGTGAAGCTGGTGGATCTGGATGGCGAGCCGTATGTGCTCACACTGAAGCAGGACCTGCACTACTGGCCCACCTGGGAGCTGCGCTTCGTGCCAAGCACTGGCACGTGGCAACGCACCATCCTTAAGACACTGAAATAGCTGCACCATCTTCAAAGTACAGAATAGCTGCAGCGTCCTCGGTACCACCGTATATGATGGTATCATCCCAATATGTACGCCTATGCACATATGCTCTTTGTATGAAATGTTTGTGATCTATTCCTTTCTCAGTATGGTACTTTGACTGCGGGATAAAAGATCCTAGGGCCTAAAAACTTCGGCACACATTCTTCGAGGGACCGGCAAAGGTTTATCACTTGAATACGGAGTAACCCGGACAAACTAACAACCAAGGGGGAGGGAAGGGGAGGGGGGGAGTGTGCGTGTTAGAAACTGTGAGAATGAATGGCTAGAATGGAACATAGCATATGCAATCTGTACCCTGATATTTTGGGCCCTGGTATCTGAGATTACATGTTCGATATTGACTTCCACCCTCTTTCATTTACAACTCAACACACTTTCCCACTCACATACCGTATGGCCCCGGATAGTAGCGCATATGCGCTTATAATAAAATCGTTTTTTTTAGGGGTGGCGCTAGTAATTGAGGAACGGCCATAAGCGCCGGCGCTTTTATAACGGCAAAAATGATTTTCGAATTCAAATGAATCAAATTGAAGCTCTCAATAAGGCGAATACAATGATGTGACGTGCGCATGGGATCGTGCATGGAATCACGGCGAAACTTGCCGCGATTCGAATTCCCACCACACAAAACCTGTCTAGGAGCAACGCACCTGCCAGCGCTGACGCGTAACCTGTCGTGCGGCCCAATGAGGTCGTCATGCGCTGCCAGGCAGGAGCATCTCGACCGAACCCTCTAGAAAGGGGGTAGAAGATGCCCTGCCAGCGCAGCATGGATGGTTCCATGAACCCTCCTCTGCGGGTTCAGGCAGAGGGGCAACCCTCGTTCATTGACGAGGACCCCGAGGCGCCATGCCGAAGGGGTCCCCTTCATTCTTTCATTTCTTGCATCTTTCATCCAGTTTTTCATTCAGTTTCTCGTTCTTTCCCGCCAGGCTGCGGAAGCCATGGCGGAATTCACCGGCACCCATTTCTTGTTTAAGAAGAAGCCTTCTGCTAGGCCCGCGTTTAGAGTTGACGCTGACGGGTGGTATTCCCGTATCCCACCAGAGCCACCACAACCTCCTGCGCCTCCTGCGCCGCCTGCTCCTCCTGCGCCTCCTGCGCCTCCTGCTCCTCCTGCTCCTCCCGTTCCTCCGTCTCCTGCATATCCCATGCATCCTGTGTTCACGCTCCTTCTCCCTTCGGCGTTCGATGAGTACCTCTCTGAACCGGACTGCGACAAGCGCCAAGATGAGTATGTAGCAGCTCCGGCCCCGGCACCACGATGGGGACAGCCCGATGACTGCAACTGGGATGAATCTGCTGTCGGCGCAGACGACGAGGTGGCTGACGCCGAAGAGGAGTGGCACGCTGAGCGCAACACCGGCGGCGAGGGTGGCACGGAGGGTGGCACCGAGGCCGGCACAGCTGAGGATGTGTTTCCCGAGGGTGCTCCGGGCGGCGACGATGACGACGGCGTCGAGTATTGGTCACGCGACGGGCTTCCAGAGAAGCTCCCGATACCCTCTTTTCCTCCGCTTAATCGCAAGCGACCACACCCTGCTTCACAGAACCGTGATGCCTGCCCCCCCTCTCCCAGGCACAAGATGAACGAGCACAAGCGACAGGCCTACACCGCCGCCGAGAAGTTGAAGTGGGTCGCGCTGCTTGATGTTGCAGTCTCGGTGCGCTCGTTGGCTCGCGAGAGCGGCATCCATCGCAAATGTCTCTCTAACTGGAAGCGCTCTGCGGACTTCCTCAAAGAGGTACACTCTGCCCGTAAGCGCATGCATGGTCGAGGGCGAGCGTCGTGGTACCGGCCGATGGAGCTGAAGGTCTACGAGAGGCTCCTCGAGTGGCGTCGCAAAGGAACCGCTGTATCCGTCGGCCGCCTGCAGGAATGGTCTCGTGAATTCATGAAGGAACTCTTCCCAACCGAGAAGTGGAAGGGGAGCCAACGGTGGTCTGAGCGCTTTCGGCGCCGATGGAATCTCAGCGTGCGCATGAAGACGCGGGTGGCACAGAAAACCGCGGCCCGTAAGATGTCGTGTATTTTTAAGATTTTTTGTACTGCGCCGTTTATTGTTACTAACACGTTCATGTTGTGTCGCCCCATGGTCTGCCTTGTCACAGATGTCGCGGAGCAGTGCAGGAACTTCTGGCGCTTTGTTCGTGAAAAGCGCCGTGAGCGCGGCATCGACACCGCGTGGATCATCAACGCGGACCAGACGCCGCTCTGGCTGGAGATGCCCGCGACCACCACCGTGGACCAAACCGGCGTTCGGTCGGTGCCGATCAGAAGTGCGGGGTACCAGAAGGAGAGAGTTACCGTGATGCTCGCGTGCACGGCGGACGGGGTGAAGCTCAAGCCCTGGGTGTTTTTCAAGCGGAAGACCGTGCCGAAGGGCGATTTCCCGGCGGGTAAGTCATGGTTTATATTACTGTGTCGTGTTCTGTATCTTCTCTTTAATCGACTGACATCTTGTTCTTCTACGCCTGTGCAGATGTGGTCGTGGCGTGCCACGAGAACGGGTGGATGGACGCGGAGGGCGTCATCCGATGGCTTGAGGAGTGTGTCAAGCCTTTCTTGAAGCCCCGGTTCGGCAGGTGTGCGAAGAGCTCCATGCTGGTGCTGGACAGCTACCGTGGTCACCTCACCGAGGGGGTGAAGGAGAAGTTCCGCGAGCTCAACTGCGTGCCGGCGGTCATCCCGTCTGGGTGCACGGCGGAGGTGCAGCCCCTCGATGTCTCTATCAACAAAAGCTTCAAAGCTTCAATCCGCCAGCAGTATCAAAAGTGGTTTCAAGAAGAGGGGCAGGAGCAGCTGACAGCAGCAGGTACGTTGTAAGCTACGGTAGATGCATATGCTTGTTTATCCACTCCTCCTCCCCTTTGCAACGCTAACTCTGTCCGTGGTGTTATTGTCCGTGCAGGGAATCTCAAGAAGCCCCCCCCAGCAGTGGTCCTGCGATGGGTCTCTCGGGCATGGAAGGCCGTGCCCGCCGACCTCATCAAGCGCGCCTTCCTCACTTGTGGCATTAGCAACGCGCTTGACGGCAGCGAGGACGGCCTCGCGATGGCACACAGGCGGACCCAGCTGACCGCGGAAGTGGATGTCGACGACGACATCATCGCTGATGGCTTCTTTGGCAACAACTGCCAGGAGCCTGAGTCTGACGAGGAGGAGTAGGAACGGTAGTTGGTTCATTGGTGGGAAGGCTTGTATAAAGGTCTGTTCATTGAGTTAGAAGTATCGTAGATGGATGTAATTGTTGGTGCTAGACTTATAATGAAAATTTTTGTGATGTTAGTAGTTAGTTTCTTAAATTGAAAAAAAGAAATGTATTAAAGTAGGCGCTTATAATAAGTACGGGTACAAAATGGTATGCGCTTATAATCGAGGAACGGCCATAAGCGCCATGCTCCATATAGAGGCGCCGGCGCCTTTAATCGGACGGCGCCTATATCCGGGGCCATACGGTATTAGGCTGTAGTGAGGTACATCTTAGGGGGTACCCATATCTCTCAGCACTCTTTTTGTACCACCCCCCTCCCTCCCCCCTCTCCCTCCCCCCTCCCCCTTCACTAGTTCACTGGCACTGGCACATGATCTAAAAATTAGGCCCATATAAATCAGACTGATGCAAACTGATAACAAGCAAGCTGAACTTTCACATCCTCTATTTATCTCAATGCCTTTATCAAGTTACCATACTATACAACAGTCTGCCTGTGGAAGCGTACAAGGTCTTACCCTGACAGGCAACTGTGTACACCCTTTTATGAGCACTTTGTTAGTAATGACTCAACTAAAACGATGCTAAAAGCCTAGGCTCCCCATACCTGGCCTTGTGGTTGCCTGAGCATGATCCCGCACTCACTTGCTCCGCCCACTCTGCTAGTACCTCTTCCGCCCACCAGGATAGCAGCAGCCGCCACACCGACGCGTGCTCTGCTTGTTCCAGCTGCACCTGCTGTGGCGACATCAGACTCTCCTCCTTTCGCAATACCTGCTGCTGTGTGGACTGTGCAACATGCGCATTGCCGCTGTCCTGCTGCACGCGCTTCCCCACATCTAAACCTGCAATAGACCCACCACCTGCTGCCGCACTTGGCTCCTGCACCTTGAATTTCTGGCTCGGCAGCAGCAACACCTCCTTCCCCATGTACCCTTGTGCAGCAGCACTCCGCAATGGGCTTAACTTCTCACTTTCACCACATGCCTTCCCTGAGTCCGCCCCTGTCCTCTCACCACAGACCACCATCTCATCGGCCTCAGAGCTCACGCCATGGCCTGAAGGGTGCGCTCTCTCACCCTCCACGCCCTCCTGCATTACCCACTCCACCTGCTCTCCTCTCCTGCTCCTCTGCCGTTCGGCTCCCGAATTAGCCCCCTTAGCCCCGCTTGACAGTTGTCCTGACTCAACAGGTGCTGCCACCTGCTGCAGCAGCATATTTGGTGCATCCATGCTTTTACTACTGCTGATCCTGCTTGGCCCGCTTGCACCAGCAGCAGGGGAGTAAGGCACCTGCAGCAAAACCTGGCTCTCTGCATGAGGTGAAACCACGCCGTGAATGTTCTCCCCCGCCCCTTCCTCTGCTCCTCCTGTCTGCAGCTGCCCCATACCATCCACAGAGCGCCTTCCCCCCAGCTTGCATTCCGGTAACCAGGGGTACAGGGAGCATTGCCACGGGGGAAGAGGGGGCGGGGGGGACGGCGATGGCGGAGGTGGGGGCTTTGGGGACATGGGAGGGGGGGGCGGGGCAGGGGGAAGGCGAGGGTGCGGGGGAGGGGGGTGTGGGGAAGGAGGGGGGTGCGGCGGAGAGGGGAAGTGAGGGGGGGGTGAGCAAGGGTGGGGGAAAGGAGGGGATGGAGGTTGAGGAGGAGAGGGGAGGGCGGGGGAGGGTGGTGGGGGCATGCAGCGCCAGGGCCAGAGGGCACACCACCATGCAGCAGGCTCGTCCCCCCCATCAGGCGGGGGAGGGGGTGGGGGGCGACAGGGGTCTGGTGGGGGAGGGGGGCCAGAGGGGCGGGGTGGGGGGAAAGGAGGGCTGGGGGAAGGGATGTGGGGCAGGGGCGGAGAAGGGGCGGTGTAGGGAGGGAGGGGGGGAGCCAGGCAGGTCCAGGGCCAGAGGGCGCACCACCAGCCATAAGGGGGGAGAGGCGGGGGGGAAGGGGGGGGAGGCGGAGGGGGAGAAGGGGGAGGTGGGTGAGGTGGGGGCGGGGATGGAGGAGGGAATGGCGGAGGAGGAGAAGGGGGGGGATGGGGAGGAGGGGGGGATGGGGGAGGACGGGGAGGAGGGGAAGGCGGAGGGGGGGATGGAGGAGGTGGTGGTGATGGTGGGGGAGGAGAAGGAGGAGGAGGGGAAGGAGGTGGGGGAGATGGAGGGGGGGAGGGAGGGGGGGAGGGAGGAGGGGAAGGAGGAGGGGAAGGAGGGGGAGAGGGAGGAGGGGAAGGAGGAGGGGAGGGAGGAGGGGAGGGAGGGGGAGAAGGAGGAGGGGAGGGAGGAGGGGAGGGAGGGGGAGAAGGAGGAGGGGAGGGAGGAGGGGAGGGAGGAGGGGAGGGGGGAGGGGAGGGAGGAGGAGAGGGAGGAGGAGAGGGAGGAGGGGAGGGAGGAGGAGAAGGAGGGGGAGAGGGAGGGGGTGAGGGAGGAGGGGAGGGAGGAGGGGAGGGAGGAGGGGAGGGAGGAGGGGAGGGGGGAGGGGAGGGAGGAGGAGGGGAAGGGGGTGGGGGGGATGGAGGAGGAGAGGGAGGAGGGGAGGGAGGGGGAGAGGGAGGAGGAGAGGGAGGGGGAGAGGGAGGAGGGGAGGGAGGAGGAGGGGAAGGAGGTGGGGGAGATGGAGGAGGAGAGGGAGGAGGAGAGGGAGGAGGAGAGGGAGGAGGAGAGGGAGGAGGAGAGGGAGGAGGAGAGGGAGGAGGAGAGGGAGGAGGAGAGGGAGGAGGAGAGGGAGGAGGAGAGGGAGGAGGAGAGGGAGGAGGAGAGGGAGGGGGAGAGGGAGGAGGGGAGGGAGGAGGAGGGGAAGGAGGTGGGGGAGATGGAGGGGGAGAGGGAGGAGGAAAGGGAGGAGGAGAGGGAGGAGGAGAGGGAGGAGGAGAAGGAGGGGGAGAGGGAGGGGGAGAGGGAGGGGGGGAGGGAGGGGGATTTGGAGGGGGAGAAGGAGGAGGGGAGGGAGGAGGAAAGGGAGGGGGAGAGGGAGGAGGTGGCGAGGGGCGAGGAGGTGAGGGTGGGGGAGAAGTTGGAACTATAGGGGAAGGGGGTGGAGGGGGAAGTGGAGGGAGACGTGGAGGAGGGAGAGGGGGGGGGAACGGGGGACGAGGAGGAGGAGGCCTGCGCCTGGGGGGGGGACAGGGGGGGCAGGGGGGGGGGGGTGAGGGAGGAGGAGAGGGAGGAGGAGAGGGAGGAGGAGAGGGAGGAGGGGGAGAGGGAGGAGGAGGATAGGGAGGAGGGGGAGAGGGAGGAGGAGGAGAGGGAGGAGGGGGAGAAGGAGGAGGAGGAGAGGGAGGAGGGGGAGAGGGAGGAGGTGGAGAGGGAGGGGGAGAGGGAGGAGGAGAAGGAGGAGGAGGTGAGGGAGGAGGGGGAGAGGGAGGAGGAGGTGAGGGAGGAGGGGGAGAGGGAGGAGGAGGAGAGGGAGGAGGAGAGGGAGGAGGAGGGGAGGGAGGAGGAGGGGAGGGAGGAGGAGGAGAGGGAGGAGGAGGAGAGGGAGGAGGAGGAGAGGGAGGAGGAGGAGAGGGAGGAGGAGAGGGAGGAGGAGAGGGAGGAGGTGGTGGGAAAGGAGAGGGAGGAGGGGGTATGGAAGGGGGAAGAGAAGGAGGAGGAGGAGAGGGGAGAGAAGGAGACGGGGGTGGGGGAGTTGGAGGGGGGGGAGATGGAGGGGGGGAAAAGGGGGGAAGGGGAGATGGAGGTGGGGGGGAAGAGGGGGGAGGGGAAGATGGAGGTGGTGGGGGAGAGGGGGGAGGGGGAGAAGGGGGAAGAGATGGAGGAGAGGGAGGAGGGGGAGAAGGTGGGGGAGATGGAGGAGGAGGGGGAGAGGGGGGAGGGGGAGACGGAGGGGGAGATGGAGGTGGGGGGGGAGAGGGGGGAGGGGGAGAAGGGGGGGGAGATGGAGGAGAAGGAGGAGGGGGAGAAGGTGGGGGAGATGGAGGAGGAGGGGGAGAGGGGGGAGGGGGAGACGGGGGTGGAGAGGGTGGAGGTGGAAAGGGAGGGGGAGGAGACGGGGGAATGGGAGGGGGAGGTAGAGGAGGTGGAGAGGGGGGAGGAGGTGATGGTGGGGGGGATGGAGGAGGGAGGGATGGGGGGGGAGGATAGGGGGGCAAGGGAGAGGGGGGCAAGGGAGAGGGGGGAGGAGGAGAAGATGGAGGTGGGTGAGTGGGCGGGGGAGGGGCGTAGGGTGGGTTGGGAGACGGCGGGGATGGGGGCTGGGGTTGAGGGGATGGTGGGGGCGGAGATTTTGGGGGAGGGGAGGGTGGTGGAGGGGGAGGAGGAGAAGGGGGAGGCGGAGGGGGAGAAGGGGGAGGGGGAAAAGGGGGAGGGGGAAAAGGGGGAGGGGGAGAAGGGGGAGGGGGAGAAGGGGGAGGGGGAGAAGGGGGAGGGGGAGACGGGGGAGGGGGAAAAAGGGGAGGAGGAAAAGGGGGAGGCGGAGCAGGGGGAGGCGGAGATGGGGGAGGAGAAGGGGGAAAGGGGGAAGGGGGAGGGGGAGAAAGGGGAGGGGGAGAAGGGGGCGGATTGAAAAGGGGAGGGGGGGAAGGGGAGGATGGTGGAGGGTTGGGAGGCGGCAAGTTGGGGGGTGGGGGAGGAGGCGAGGGAGCAGTGGGCGGAGGGGCGTGATAGTCATAGTTCCAGATGGCCATGCGCACCATCCACTGCCTCGCCTCCCCTCCACACTCACCCTCGCCCCGTGTCCCCACACCCCAACCACCCTTCCCACCCAAGTCATAACCTCCCCCAGCAGCATCAGCAGCCATCTTCCCGTTCCACGGCGTCTCTCCATCCAGCCACGCTGCCACGGCCGGTGCCTCTCTGGGTTCCCACAGCATCATTCCCTTGCCCGGTAATCTCCACTCCCGCTCTGCTTCTCCGCGCCAACTCAGCTCAAACTCCCCCTGCGCCACCACTGCCACCGCCTGCCCCGGCTGCACGCCCCGCTTCACCACCTGAACCGCGCCCAACCGCACTCGCACCACCGCTCGCCCCTCTAGAAAGGGTTTGATGGCAGTGAGTTTGGAGGGCAGGTCTGGGAGCAGCAGGGGGTCGTGGCCGGGGGCAGTGAGGGAGGTAACCGGGGCGAAGATGGCAGCAGCACGCTGCTCATCCCTCGCCTGCACGTGCTGCCGCCAGCAGCGCAGCGAGACAGCAATCTCCCCCCTGATGGCCGATGCGTTGGCTTCGAGCGGCGAGCGAGGGGCGGTCGGGGGAACCGGTGGCTTGGTGTGGGGAGATGGTGGGGGAGAGGTGGGGAAGGGAGCAGCGGTGAGAGAGGCAGCAGCGGTGCTTGCTGCGTGATGCATGAGGGGCCAGGGGGGCGTGGGATCAGCTTGAGGAGCAGTGCTGTGAAGCCTGCTGGTGCTTGCATGCATGACGCCTGGGTGTCCTGTGCCGATCACTGTTTCCAAACCAGCATCCTTCCTGCTGCGACTGATCGCCCCCGGCCCTGCAAATGGCACGATGAGCAACGGTGCCTGTAACCTATGCCCGTGCTGCTGCATATCTCCACTCTGCTCCCTCACACTCTGCTGCATCACCCCATCACTGCCACCGTCAATGCTCCCACACCCCTCCCCTGCTCCACACCCCCTTCCTCCCGATCCCAGCCTCTGCACGCCACTCTCATACTGCAAGGATCCAAGCACGGGAAGCATCTCGCGAGCCTGCTGCCACCACACCACGCCCCCCACCACCACCCGTGCCACTGCCCGCATCACCCACCGCACCCACCTCTCCCACCTTTCCCACCCTGCCCTCCCACCTGCTCCCCTCCCCCACCGCTCCACCCCCATCGCCTCCCCTCGCCCCTGCTGCTGCGCCTCTCCCTGCGCGCCCCGCTGCTGTGCCTGCACCCAGCACACGCCATCCACCTGCTCAATCAGCAACCCCCCCCGCCCCCTGCCCCGCCCCCACGCCCCGTGCCCTCCGCCCCTTCCTACTTCCTCCAACCTTACCCCCACCCCTTCCCCCAACTCTCCCTGCCCCGCCACGCCCATTTCCAGCTGCACGCGTCTCCTCACACCCATCCCCTCTGCATGCTGTCTGCTCTCTTCCACCAGCATCAGCCCCCCTCCCAACCCCTCCTCCCTGTCCTCTAGCCCTGGCGCCTCAGCCCCTCCCCCCTGCTCTTCCTGCGCCTCTGCGTATCCTCCTCCTGCTGCCTCTTGCATAAGCACGCCCTTTCCCACTGCCTGACCAGACAGCCCTGCACCTCCCACCCGCGCCACCTGCGGAAGTACCAATGGAAGCACAGGCTGTGGCAGTGCGAGTGGTTCAAGGGAAGCGGCAGCAGGGATAGGTGGTGCTGCCACTGCTGGTGCCAGAGACGCCTGCAGTGAGATCAAGGGAAGAGGTCCAGAAGGCACAGGTGAAAGGGAGAGGCGAGGCGGGGCGGAGGCAGAGAGGGGAGGGGAGGGTGGGAGGGGCGGGAGGAGCCAGAGCAAGTTAAGTGCGTCTTCTATGCCCGTGCCTTGCCCGCGGCCTGGGGGGAAGGCTGAGAGCCTCGAGTTCCACACCACCACTCGCGCAGACCACAGCTGGCCGTTCTGACTCGCCTCCTGGGGCCGCCACCACTGCTGCTGCTGCTGCCCCTCTTTCTGCTGCTTCTGCTGCCCCTGCCCCTGCCCCTGCTCCTGCAACCGCCGGCGGTTCACGTCTTCCTGAAACAGCTGCCTTATGTGCGCTGCCTGGTGCATGCCATCCCTTCCATCTGATACCCCATCCGACAACCCTCCTCCCCCACCACTCACCATACGTAACCCACCCGCTCCCACCACCTCCCCATCCGCCACAGCTTCTACCACATCCCTACCGTTGCCACTGCTCCTGCCCCTGCCGTTGCCCCAGCCATGCCCCTGCGCCTCCCGCGCCCTGTCCCTCACTTCCCAGAGCGCCACGGCATTAGCAGACTCCAGCACAGCGCCGTCAGGCGCAGAGAAGCTGAACACGCCCGTGCTGAGCACCAGGTACGCCCCCCCAAGGTCCCTGTCGTCCCCCACCCCATTAAACACCCCCACCGCCAGCACCGCTGCGAATAGCTGCTCTGTGCCGCACCCTGCTGGTAGTAGCTGGAGCGCGGACAGACGGTCGGAGAGGGAGGCGAGGGTGAGGAGCGGGAGGGTGGGCGTGAGGAGGAGGCATGTGGGGGAGAAGATTTCTGCTGCTGCCGTGAGCTGCTGCGCTGCTATTGCCCTCTGCCACTCGCCCAGGGATTGGATGATCCCCAGGCGGGCGTCGGCGGGGGAGAGGGGCGCGAGTGGGGGAGGGGGGGAAGGGGGCGGCGGAGGGGACGGTGGAGGGGGGGACGGCGGGGGTGGAGAAGGGGGAGGGTTTGGGGGTGGTGGGTGAGGAGGCGGGGAAGGAGGGCGAGGAGGGGGAGGGGACGGTGGAGGGGGAGAGGGAGGAGGTGAGGGAGGAGGTGAGGGAGGGGGGGACGGTGGGGGGGACGGGGGAGTTGGGGGAAGGGAGGGAGGTGGGTGAGGAGGGCTAGGGGGAGGAGATGAGGGCGGGGGAGGTGACGGAGGGGGAAACGGGGGCGGTGGAGATGGCGGACGGGGGGGCGAAGGTGGGGGCGGGGAGGGAGGAGGGCTGGGCGGAGGGGAAGGAGGAGGCGGAAAAGGGGGAGGCGGCGAGGGAGGGGGAGAAGGAGGAGGAGGAGAGGGGGGCGGTGGTGGGGGCGGAGGGTTTGGTGGGGGCGAGGGTGGCGGAGACGGTGGGGGTGACGGTGGGGGCTGGGGCGGAGGGGGAGGAGAAGGCGGAGGGCTAGGGGGCGGCGGCTGGGGAGGCGGGCTGGGCGGCGGAGGCGAAGGCGGAGGCGAAGGAGGGGGCGGAGGGGCGGGAGGCGGAGGGGACGGCGGTGGGGGCGAGGGCGCGGGCGGGGGAAACGGCGGAGGGGACGGGGGCGGAGGGGGGGCGGGCGGGGAGGGCGGAGGCGGTGGGCGCGGAGGCTTAACAGGTTCGAAATTGTAGGCAAGGGAGGAGAAGCGCCAGTCGCGCCCCACGTCCCCAGAAGTCACATTCACTACGTCATACGCGTCCCACTGCTGCAGCACCTTCCCCGCCGCCAGCTGCTTCCCACTCCCCGCGCTCCACACATCGAAATGCCCCCGCGTGAGCGCGGACAGGTTGCTCCCGCGCACTCCGCTCGAGGGCGGAGGCGGAGGCGCGGGTTCCGCGCGCACCACCAGCTCCACCTCATGAATGTGCACGTCTAGGCGCAGCAGGTGCGCGAGCAGCGGGTGCAACGAGCGCGCCTTGGCGAGGCGCTCTACAAGGGTGATAGGGGGCATGTGGGGGGCGACGACGCGCACCACGGGCGCAAAGATGTTGAGCGCCAGCAGCACGCGCTGCTGGTGCGCCGCTGCCAGCGCCGCCGCGATCGCCGCCTCGATCTCCTCCTTGGCCACCTTCACGTCCAGCGACCGCTGGCTGGTCCGCGGCAGAGGGGTTTGCAAAGCGGTACCGGGTGGTGGTGGGTGGTGAGTCGTCGCCATGGCACCAGTGTCTGTGTGCATTTCAGAGGAGGAGAGTAGCTCGCCGGCCTGTGGGCCAGCCCCTTGCGCGTTGACATGCAACGACACCCCTGCTTCTCCCTCCATGAGTCGCCTACCCCTCTCCGCGTCAACCCCAGCCTTGAACTCACTCGCTATCTCCATCTCGCCCTCATATGCATCCTTCAACTGTCTCCGTTCCCTTCCCGCTCCCCTTTCCTCTCCCCCTCCCCCTCCTTCCCTGCCCAGCTGCGTCGCAATCAGCGCATCCAGCCTCGCTGCCTCGCCTGCCTCCAGCGCCGGCCACTCTGCGGGCAGTCCGTCCCCTGGCGCCCAGTCATCTCTAGCGCCATCCGTGCCATGCACGTTCCACATGGTCCACCGCAACACCCACTCCCGCTCCTCACTGCCCACGCCCTCTCCCGCGCCCAACCCCGGCCCCGCGCCCTCCGCCGCGCTCTCGCTCCCCGTATCTTTCCCTTCCCCAGACCCTAGCAGCCCTCCGCTCGCCTCCTCATCCCCCTGGTCCCACCAGCCCCCCCAGCCTCTGCACGCGTCAGCTGCCAGCAAGCTCCTCCTCTCCCCGCTCCCCGCCCTCCAAGCATCCGTCTCCGCCCCTTGCTCCGCGCGCTGCCCTTCCCCCCCCGACCCCAGCCCCAGCCCCAGTCTCAACCCCAGTTCAAGCCCCAGGTCCGCCTGCCCTCCCCCCTCGTGGTCGTCCCTCTCCGCCCACAGCTGCACCACGGTGCCCTGCTTTCCCGCAATCCCCCCCGCGCCTGCGCCAGTGGAGAAAGTGCTCGTGCTCAGCACCACCAGCGGCGCAGCGTCGCTCCGCCTTCCCCCCACTGTCTGCGCCGGTGGCGGCTGCGGGGGCGCGTGAGGCGCAGGAGGCGCGAGGGAGGCAGAAAGCGCGCGCGCACCTGAACTCCGCGGCTGCTCGACCTCCGCCGGGGTGGTTGCGCCAGTGGCGTTCGGCGGCGGCAGCCATCGGCGGAAGGAATCCGCGTCGGTGACCACTAGATGCAGCCGGCAGGCGGCTTCCGCGTCGAACAGGGGGAAGCTGCGGGGGATTTGCGCCAACGAGCGCACGTGCAGGGGGGAGCGGAGCGGCGCAAAGACCCAGGACCCGCCGTTGGGGACGTCCGGGAGGGGCCCAACCCAGCGGCCAGGTCCGGACATGTGGCGCGCGTAGAGCGCAAGCAGGCGCCGCTGCTCGCTCCTAACACGCTTCCTTATCCCCTTCCCGGTGACTCGCGTACTGGCCGGCGGCGCCGTTAGAATGCTGTACGCCGGGAGGGCTGGAGAGGCGACGCTGTGGATGAGCGCAGAGGCCCCTTGTTCGGAATGCGCACTGAGTAGAAGGGCATGAGGGTGCTCTGAGTGAACGGCGCCGGGGTGCGTGACCTGCGACGTGGGTAAGAGCAAGCCCACCGCGTGTTCCGCTCCGGCCGCACACCCGCGCATTCCGTCACACACTGCCATTGCTCCAGCCGTCTCCGGTTCACCCGCCCCTTGACGCGGGTGCAGACCCCCCCTGTCTAGCCCGTCGCTGCGCCGTTCCCCACCCACGTTGCTGTCGCTGCCATGCCTGCTGCCCGCCTCGACCACCATCCGCACGCCGAGCGGCCGAGCGCTCTCGCTAGGCAGCCGTAGCGCCCCTGCTGCCGGCCATGCATCGCCGCCCTCGCCTCGCGTTACGACGCCCGCATCGCTGCCGCTGCCCGTCTCTCCCATCCCCGCCCCACGCGCGTCCTCCGCTGCCCATGCCTCCGCGCTGTGCTGCCAGTCGTCGCCAGTGTCGTGCCAGTCGTCGCCAGTGTCGTCCCAGTCGTCGCTAGGGCAGTAACAGTGCGCCGTTGACGGCTCCGCTGGAACGGGCACTGCCGCCGCTGCCGCTGACTCCTCTGCCGCTGATACCGCTGCGTCTCCCATTCTTGCCCGCGCGCCGTCCGTCCAACCCCCGTCGCTCGTTTCTTCCTGCCCCAGCCCTTCCTGCCCCGCCAGCAGAAGCAGCAACGATGCGCCATGTCGTGTAGCTCGCCGCTCGCTATCTCTCTGCTCGCTCTCGTCGCCCCGGTCCCCACCGTCGGCGACACGTGTCGCATGCGACTCCCGAAACTCCGCGCCCCGGTTAATCGGCGATGGCGGGGCGGAAAGGTGAGCGGCGAGCGAGGGAAAAGGCTCGGGTTGGATCGAGTCACAGGCGAGCACGCAGCGGGGCAGGGCCGCGCAGAGGAGGAGAGCGGCGAGGATGAGGGAGGATACGAGGCGCCGAACGAAGCCGCGGATGGGAGGGACTGCAATGCGGCGTCGGCGGGTTCTCCACGCGGTGCGTCGCGCCATGGCGGCCGCGCAAACATTTTCTGAGTCGTACGGTAATCGCGCCACTGGCACGAGCTTGAACTGGTTAGCGGCACAAAACTCAAGAAACTATTCTGACCTCTCAAGAGTCAGCGTCTTTTGGTCATAACTCCTGGGCGAAAAAACAGGTGGGAGTTGCTGTGCTTCTTGCCATGTCCCTGCCCTAGTCTGCAAGGTTCTTTGGCTCGAACCCGCTTCTCCACCCCGCAAGCTCTCGCCTGCTGGTGCCCTGAGTCCCTGACCCACCAGAGCACGGCACAAGGTTGTGAAAAGCAGAGGACAAGGTAGCCATAGTTGGTCAGTCCTTTGACCTTGCCTCCCTGACCTCCCTGTCCTCATCCAATGATCCCCGGCGCGACGCCCTCCAAAGCAGGCCGTTCCTGATATTGCTGCCTTCTGCGCCACGATGACGAGCACCACAGCAGGCTCGATGAGTTCCCGAGGCTCTATCATGTCCCGAGGCTTTCCAAGCTCGATGAACTCTCGAGGCTCGTGGAGCTCCCAAGGCTGGAGAAGTTCGTCGTGATTTGTAAGCGTTCCTGGTTTGGTATTCGAGGTCTGGTCTCACGAGCCGAACCAGTCAGGCCAATCAGAAGGTCGTCTTCGCGTCAAATCAAGCCGCCGACACGCCAAAAGCTGTACACTTGCTACGTGTTTATGTATCCGTAGTGAAATCCGCCCAAACCTTATTGAATCACACAACCACAGTACGACTCCAACATTTCGAAAGACATCGCCTCCCGAAGCTGGCCCAAGTTGCCTTCGGACTTGGCAGCCTCAGACCAGCACCCAACCTCGTCCTCCGAGGTCTTCGCCTAGCTATGGCTTGTCAAAGTTGTTGATATAACCAATAATCATAGTGGATGGGATAAGCTAGCCAAGTTTGTGACAAGACTATGAAAGGCTTTGTCATGACCTTGTTGATAATGATAAAGACAACAAGATGATTTTAATATAGGAGTACTGTTACGAATAGTAAGTTGAGAAAAACACTGTGCACTCCAAACCGCAGCGAGTGAAGCACACAATATCGGGCCGAAGTCAAAGAGGCAGAAAGACGCAAAGGATCGTGCACAGTTACGGAGCATCTGGACCGTCAGGGCAGACATCATCAGGCAGCAGTAGTGGCGAGGATTCTGCTCGAGCAGTTTGTAACCGTATGGAGTCGCACGGTTAGGTTTCGCTGCAATAAGGGAGTGTACCCCTTAGAGTACAGGGCTAGCCTATGTCGTTTCGTATTCCCCTATACTCTTATTTATACGCTTGTATTTGCATGTTTGTATCGTCTCAATCATCTTACATCCACTCTGATTTGAGGTCAAGGGCCCACCACTACCACACAGTTATGTGCGAACCTGTCAGAATTTGTAATTCTTATATATTTGCATGTTTAGTTAGTTAGTGTAGTATCACCTATCTTGTCTTAGGTGGTCTACCTCCCTTCACCACCTCCCCCGTTTCCTATAACTTGTACTGCATTCTATAGTGGAACCCTCTTCTTTTGGCCTACCTCTCTCTTCACAAACCCTAGCCTCTAGCTACTATTCTAACATGGTATCAGAGCAGGTTCATCCTAAGGACCTAATCTTTTGTTTTTTTTTTTTTTAACATGGCTGCTGCAGCACCCGCTAAGGCGCTCTGGCGCCTACATGTCCCGTCCCGTCGCGCCTGCCGCACCTGCCCGTCCCGTCCTGTCTCGCAAGTGGAGCCCGACCTGCCCGTCGCGTCCCCCGTTTCGTCGACTTGCGGCGCCCCGCTTCCTGTCGCCGCGGCGCCCGGTTCCCGTAGCCGCGGCGCCCCGCGTTTCGTCGCCGCGGCGTCTCGCGTCCCGTCGCCGCGGCGCCCCGCGTCCCGTCGCCGCGGCGCCCTGCGTCCCGCCGCGCCCGCTGCCCTGCTTCTCGTCGCCGCCGGCAGCAGCTCACGCCCCCCCCCCCCCCCCCACCCGCCCTATCAAAGATAGCAGGTAGAAAGATAGAACACGAAAGAGGGTTTGCACTAGCAGGCAGTTGCGAACATATAGGAAACCCTAAATTGGGTTGTACTCGCTATAGAGTACCCCACTGCAGGCTAGACAAATACGACATTCTGACACGCCCTCCCTTCCGCGGCTTCCGTCGTGGGGGGGGGGGGGAGGGGGAGACGTGGGGGTGGCGGGTGTGAACCACCAGCATGCCGTCCCTCCCTTCCCTCTTCCTCTCTCCACTACAGCACTTGTTGCTGTGGAGGGGGTGGGGGAGAGAGAGGAAGGGGGGATGAAAGAGAGAGAGAGCGAGAGAGAGAGAGAGAGAGAGAGAGAGAGAGAGAAAGACGAGAGAGAGAGAGAGAGAGAGAGAGAGAGAGAGACTTGTTTCTCCTTGTCTGTTCTCTATCCGCCGTATCTGGGCGTCTTCGTCTTTCCTCGTCGCGCGCACACACCGGGCATCCACTGCGAGGATTGAAACCGCAGGCGGGCAATCCACCGTATCCGGCGGTGGGCCCAGCACTCGGCACGATGATTGTTTCCCTTCGAGATGAGCCCCTACACTAGCTATACTTGCATGCATTTAAGGGGAGATGTCAGAATTTGTAATTCTTATGTAATTGCATGTTTAGTTAGTTAGTGTAGTATCACCTATCTTGTCTTAGGTGGTCTACCTCCCTTCACCACTTCCCCCGTTTCCTATAACTTGTACTGCATTCTATAGTGGAACCCTCTTCTCTTGGCCTACCTCTCTCTTCACAAACCCTAGCCTCTATCTACTATTCCAACAGAACCTTCCTAAGATGATCCTAGTTACAATCAACTTGTGATCGCAGCATGGTATGCAACAGGGGCCTTTGTTATGAGACCAATTTGATCTGATAGTCTGATTTTCAGACTTAGTTTTCTTTGTTCATCATACTTGTAAGATTTTAATTTTATGTCCGTCTCATCACTACGACAAATGGTTCTAATTCAGATGAAATTTCAGACCGCATAATATTCTTCATCTGAGTTTCCAGATAACGAGTACGATTCCGTTTGAAACCGACATTTCGGGCCATTAGGCCATAGGCCCACTAGGTATGGTACCTGCCAGCCTGTATAGATGCATGCGTAATAAATGTGTCTGTCTCGTAGCTTCCGCGCTGGCAAAAACCAACACCGTTGGCAGAAGTGATGAATCAGATGCTGCCAACACTTTGTCGCTGCGTGGGTGTCGGCGCTGCTGCCACCTATATCAAGGCACCGACACTGTAAGCTTGTGCAGCATAGTCCTTTCCTTGAATAAAACGCCAGGAAAGGCGTGTCGTGTATGCATCACGCATGCACGTAACTGTGGTTCCCGGCCCCCAACCGCCCCCACGCATCACGAGATGAGGGTTTGAGGGATCACGATGGGGGCCCTCCCTCCATCTTGCTTATACTTTTCTTGCACTTCACTCAGTTGGTCTTGCAGTGCAGCTAATCACCCGCAACATACCTCCCGATGGCCATTTCTCCCCAGGAAGACCCCCCTGAAGTCTCAGCATTACATTTCCTCACTCGGGGCAAGCACATCCACGTCGTTGCACCACCCCCCGTTGCCTCGTCCTCCGCCCAGGTTCCACCGGCAGTCAGCGCCTCGCCCGAAGCTGTGCCTTCCTCACATGGCATGCCCTCAACCTCTAAGGCTACCACGCCCATTTCGCCGTGTTTTGATTCCTCTGGCCGTGAATCCCACCAACCCGCTGTTTCGATTGCAACAACCGAGAATCTACGAGCTAACCCCGTGCTGCCTGACAGGGCTTCACTAAAAGCTAAATACAAGCAACGGAGGCTTAACTTTGCCCGTCCCGCAGGTCCTACGCTGCCCGCGCCATCGGAGACGATCCCGCCCGCGACTCATCACTCCGCAGATGACGCTGACGAAGACGAGGACAAGGACAAGGGTCGAAGACAGCTGTCTGTGGAAGAGCTGCAGCTCAAATGTAAGGAGCAGCGGCAGCGCTACCTCCCGTGGCTCTTCTTCAAGGACGGGCCTTGCATGCGCTGCAGCGTCTGTATGGTGTTCGGCGACCCGCACTACAAGTGCGGCCGCTACGGTGAAGGCGGCCTCGGCATTCTGAAGCAGACGATGCGCAAGCATCATTTTAGCGTCAAGCACAAGGCGGCGGTGCTGCAGAAGGAACAACGTGACGGTCAGAAGAAAGGCCAGAAGTCCATCATCGACTTCGACATGGGGGACAACGACGGCAAGCGTATTGCTCGATTGATGGCAATCGCTTTGTTCATCTGCAAATCTGACGCCCCTATTGTGCTTTTCGTGGCTCTTATTCAATTCATGGCCGAGCAGGGCACTCCTGACATGCCATTGAAGGAAAACGGCACGTACTACAGCGAGTGAGTAATGTCTTTGTATTCCGCATGTCTTTGTATTTCCGCTCCACATTGCTCACGACTTCATTCTTTGTTTATGCGTTACAGGTTCGGTTTTGCTTAGCTTGTGGAAACGATGGTGTCATACCTGCAGTCCCGTCAGCTGAAGGACATCCGCGCCAGCCCCTTTCTCGGGATCCAGTTGGACGAGAGCACGGACCGAAGGCACGGGAAGCACATGATCGTCTACATGACCTTCCTACGCGACAACCTTCCTGTCACGGAGTTCTACACACTACTCACAGTCGAGCAGTGTGACGCCGCCTCGCTGCTGACCGGTCTGCTAACGCATCTGGAGACAACGGGCATCGATCTGCAGCGCATTTGCGGTATGAGCACGGACGGCGCCACTGTGATGACTGGCCAGCACAACGGGTTGGTCGCGCGCCTCCGCTAGAAGATTCCTCATCTTGTTTCGTGTCATTGTGTCGCTCACAGGCGAGTTATACCTGGTTATATGCTGATTTGTATTGTCAAGCATGCACTGACATGTTGTCGGTTGAACCTTGCAGGGAGGCGCTGGCAGCTAAGGATGCAGCAACCGCATTCCCAGACCTCTAGATCGTGGACAAGGTGGTCCGTTTTGTGGTCGACATTCTCGGGCGCCTTGTGGTTCATACCCGGTTCAAGGAGCTTCAAGAGGTTATTTGCGAGACTCATCTGGAGATGCAGGGGATAAAAGGCGTGAGGTGGCTTTCAAGAGGCCATGCGATACAGCGACTCGTCTCGTTGTTTCCCGCAGTTGTGATCGTTTGGCAAGAATTCGACAGTAAGATGTACGCGACAGTGATTAGTTTCAAGTTCCATTTCTTACTCTACTTGCTTGCCGATGTGTTAAAGGATTTGAACCTGCTCATCTTGAAGTTCCAGCAACGACATGTACGTTATAGGGTTTGCGGTTCTAGCTTCCGTCGTTTTATTTGGTCATGTCTTAACTGATTTGTGTTTCATGCGTGTGCAGATTGACGCAACCCACGTGCTGCAGAAGGTACACAACACAACCCTCCTGCTGCGGACTCGTTACCTCGACAGCAACGACGAGATGTTCGGGCAGGGCGGCGCGGCGCTAGGGCCA